AAAGCATACAGATTTTATTCCTCAGTTTGCTATTTAAACAGATGCTTGATTAACTGTTCCCTGAATCAATCAGAGGAAAACGCATCCTCTGAAACTTGGAGACCAATCTACAAGTCACAGATAAGGGGAAAAAACAAGCAAACCGATGGTAAACAAAAAAGTAAAACATAAAATCGACTGCAGCTCATGTCTGGAGAGCCACAAAGGAAGAAGCAAGTTACTCCATACACTGTCTTAAAACCACTTTATACATCTACCTTCTTCCTATAAAATTATCACGTGTGAAAATTAAAGTATGATTCACAACACTTCCTCAATAAAGGATATTTGACTGTTGAAGGGAAAAAAGTTAGACAGTGGCAATAACATAGTGGGAAAACCTGAGATTTTTAGCTGAATATCTAGCTGGACACCTCATGTTCTCAGCTGAATTCCAATCTTGCCTTCCATTTTCTATGTATTACCACCAGTTCCAACAAGGAGTTGCATGGTCCTATGCGTGCAGCATAGGACCTACCCTGACCCTAAAACATTCAAGGTGGCCCTAACTAGTAAGTTCCAATAACCAGGAGTACAGGGCAGATACATTCCAGCAGTTCAATACAACTATTATTATTATATTTTAAAAATTCACAGCAGGCTCCAAGAAGAGTCAGCATGGCGTCTCTGCCCATGCTAAACCAGCCAAACAGTATGAAGAATGATGCACAGGGAGATCTGAGTTAGTCTTCTTAAAAATCAGTGCAAGTCTGGGAAGATTTATTAGTTTGGACTTTGTAACTTCCAAATCTGAATTGGCCCTAGAAATAGCACAATTGAATTCTCAGAATACTGGGCTAACAACATAAATAAAACTTCTTGGCCCAAAGTCAGACACATACAGGGCCAGCTGAGTATGTCTGCATCTGTGACATGATTAACCTACATCATCAATAAAATAACTATAGATAACTAAGATGACCTCTCTCTGAAAGATAAATTGACATGTAAGTATTGAAAGTTAAGTACTATTTAGAAACAAAATAACCAAGTTATGACTATTTATCAGAGTATTTTAACATGTAGAGAAGGCCTATAATCAAAAACCATGACATTGATCCTGGAAAAGAGCCATGAACAAACATTATTATTGCTTCTGCCAAAGCCCAGACTTGTGTCCAGGTTGGTCAGGCGAATAGATGGATTTTGGCCTCTACTATGAAAGGGTGAGTTTCAATAACAGTACATCCTACATGCAGAATAAAAGCATGCAAGAGAAAAAAAAATTAAAACATAGTTAATATGACTAAGATAAAGTCAACACATTGACAAATGTATCAACTATTCTGAAGAATAATGAAAAATCTCAGCCCATTAGTCTTTGCTAAAAATGTCTGGAGGCCAAGGTAACTGGTAATATCAGTAGTTTTATTTTCCTCAAAATGCAGGATTAACAAAATGTGAGCAAGAACACCAGCCATTAATTTTATTCCACTTCCACAGCTGAAAACAAGAAGAGTTTCAATAAATCAGAAACTTCTCTTCTTTCAAGATCACACTGTGAACTCTTCTTATGCCAGGATCAATTTCCTCTCATCTTCAGGGTAATGCAAAAGAGGGGACAGAAGAGACAAAACAAAAACAAAAAAACCCACAAAACCAACCAAACAAAAACCCCACAAGAACAAACAAACAAACAAAACAACCAACAACTTTGGCCAGATGGACTAAATACAACAAAACACTGGTAAAAGACAGAAACTTGCCAGGAAAGAGACAGGAAACACAGGAAACAAACCAACCGTTATACCATGCAAACAAAAACAATAATCAAAGTATTTAAACACACATTGAAAAATATTTTTCCTATAACACACTTTCTTCTTTTAATAATTGAATAGATTGACTTCAGAAGACCAAAAGGCGCTAGAATCAACAGAGAATGCAGCATGAAAGCTTTATGCAACTAACAGAAAGAGTTATTCAACACGTTAAGGAATGGCCCTGACAAACTTGACCAGAATGCACATCCACTTGTGTGCAAACGGAGATCCAGAGCAATTGAAACACACTGGGAGAAAGAAGAGGAAGAGCCTTGACAGTCCTTCAGAGAGATGCAGACAATAAGACTGATGACATTTTCTGTGGAGGTGTGTACTATCCACCTTCCTTTTCAACTCCTGCTCTCAAAATGAATCAGTAGAGTTGTCACCGAACACGTCCCCCCAAACCTCCATTACGAAGAACATCATTTTATGTTCACAATTCAGCAATGATGCTATGCAATGCTTTTATTCATATGAGTTATCTGATGTTCAACTGTTTCTCTGAACCATGAAATTTATTCTCATTTTAATGAACAAGAATCTAGATTCCTTTTTCTTCTCAATATTATAAATGAATACATTCATTAACAAAAGGATGTCCCATACAGCAACATTTGAATGGTTCATTTACATTTCAGTTCTTATTTAATGCTTGTTGAACCCTAGTTTTTTAATTTTAAATGCATAGGTATGAACTCCCAGGTTTAAGTATTATTCATACATGTGTCACACTTTATGTACAAATTACCTACAGATGTGTACAAATTACATACAGACACCAGTTAGCAGAACTTAAATTAGCACATCTGTTTGCAGACATAAGGAGGATAATCTGAATTTACTGTTCAAATTACGTTCATTTTGTAAATTGTTGATTTAGAAACAGGTATTTGGTATTTTCAGTAACCTGAACCAACCAGCCTATGAATTATAACCACTAACCAAAAGGCACATCATTAACAAATGCAAGTGTTAATTGTTTTGCATGTACAGGAATGTGTATCCTATGTACACAACATTATATAAGTGTATTCAGTGTATAGGAAAAAAAAATTTTTTTTAAAGTACAGTTACTTTTACTACAGATATCAGATATTTGTCTGTTCTAGTATTTATTAGACAGTCCTTATGAAGTATGGCAAAAATACAAACCACAAAATGAGAAATTAAAAGCTACATCAATGTGTTACTCATAGAAAATGGAGACAAACAGTAGGCAACATTCAAATCAAGTATGACTTTTTTTCCATCTGCGTGCTAAAGAAGATATTTTTAAACAGATTTCTAACACTTTACAAAGATCTTCTCAAAGAGGTTTACCTTCAGTGTCATCTTTCTTTAAGTTCAAGCAAACTTCTGCAGTACTGGTAACTTACGTACTATTTTGTTCAACCACCTGGGAAGTGCTTATTTAGAAAAAAATTAATTCAAAACTTAATGGTGGGGCTGAGAAGAGCTCAAGGTGCTTCACAAGGCTCTGATGAATTTGTGTGGTTTGTAACTACTGTTTCACCTTTCCTTTATTAAATACCTACGCAAGTAGTTGAGAAAATTGCACAGAGACCTGATTTTGAAACCTTCCAAATATTAGCATCCTCTACGGAGCGTGTGACTGTGCTGACATAGGACACTGTACAGGCACACCTACGCTGCCAGGGAAAGAGGAGCTGCAGTATCACTGCACTGGCCTATGATCTCCTCCACCTCAGGTTACATCACCTCTTAAGAAAGCACTGTCCCAGGACAGCACAAAGATATTTTAAAGCTGTCTGTTCAGTTTGCACTTCATTTAAAGCCAAGGCCTCTGCACCCACATCGGTTCTCAACGGCTGCAACAGGGCTTGACATAGATGAAGGGCTGTGCTAGTGGGACTCAACACAATGACACAACAAGTGCCCAAATAGTTCTTATAAAGTGCTACAAAAGGTGCGAAGTAAACAGTAACATGAAAAAAACAACTCACCTGCTGTTGTTGATTTTCCAACTCCCCCTTTTCCAGAAGCCAAGACCACCACCTGCTTAACTCCTTCTATGGGCTTCTGTTTGGGCAGCCCCCGTGACAGGATCTGGGCGCGTTTGTCCCTTAGAGAGTCATCCCTGAAGCTTGAGGACTAACAAAAACAGAAAGCAAGCGAATGGGTATGCACCAACCTGCAGTTTCCACAGGGAGAGCTGATAAAGAAGAACCCACCGTTTTCACTGATGGTCCAAAAAAAGCTCTTTGCCGGCAGTCTCTCCCAAAGGGAGCCCGCTCCACAGGCGGACAGCCTAGCAGGGGTGATATAATAACCCCAATGGGCATTTTGTTTAGACGCACAGTTAAATAGGATTGGTCTTAGCACTTAAAAGAAAAAATAAAAAATAAATGAGGGCTTGTGTTTAAACCAAAACAGCACTTAAAAAGTTGGAAGCTTTAAACAATAAGCTAGACCTAGCGGTCTTTTATGTTACAGTTGCTTCGAGCACAGGACAGGCAGAGAAACCCCCGGTGCTGAGGTGAAGCGCCTGTGGCTGTCCCGGGGGGCTGCCCCTCGCCCGGGCCGTATGAGGCAGCCGGGCCAGTGCCGCTCCGGTGGGGCGAGCGCCTCTGCCCTGCTGCTCCAGAGGCGAGAGGGACCCGACGGCTGTTCCGCGGCCTCCGCAGCGGGACAGAGGGACCACCGGACGGGAGCCTGCGTCTCTACCACCTACTGCCCGGTGGCACCACAGGCGGCGAGCGACCGCTGGCTCCCGCCATAGAACCGACCCCGGTCCCGGCAAAAAAAAAGCGTGCAGAGACTCATCTTCCTCTGCTCGCTCCGGCCGCTGCCTCAGCCACCGCATCCCCACACCGCACACCCCCCCGCTAACGGAACCACAGACACCGGAGCAGGCCGAGGACCACGGCGGCTCTCCCACCTCCCACCCCCGCGCAGCTCCCCCCAGACACACCGCTCCATCCCGGCCCGGGCTTTCCGCCCACGCTTAGTTCACTCACCGCCGAGCCGGCAAACGAAGCGGCGGCCCCGCACACCGGAGCCCTCCCGCCGCCGCCACCGACGGGGAAGCGGGCGGCGCGTAGCGCCCAACGCCAGGCGGGAGCCCCCATTGCCCGCCGCCTACCCCCGCCCCGGGCGCGCTGAGATGGCGCCGTTTCGCCGCGCCTCGGCCCGCCCCTTTCAATGCGCCGGGTTGGGCCTCCCCCAGCTGGGCCGGGGCACCGGCGAGAGCGTAGAGGTTGCTGGAAATGGAGGACTTCGCACTGAGAGAACTGCTCCTGGTGGAACAGACCGAGGCCTGCCCGCCTGAAGAGCCGGGCTCCCAGGAAAAAGGAGCTCCTTGCCGCTGTCTGTGAGAAAACTGGGCCCAAAGGGGTAAATATCAGGGGACCGGGTGCGTTGCGAGTTGGTTTGGGGTCGTCCCTTACTATGTTTTTATTTGTTCCCCCCTCAGTCTCGCCCTGGTTTTTCCCCTTCAGCTTCTCAGTGGCTGCTGGATTCGCGTCTTGGCCCACGGAATGGTTGGCCAAGGGCTTGGCCTCTCCTTGGTCTGTGTCTTCTTCAAATATAGTAAATATCATAGAATGGTTAGAGTTGGAAGGGACCTTAGAGATCATCTTGTTCCAACCCCCCCTGCCATGGACAGGGACACTTCCCACTAGAGCACGTTGCTCAAAGCCCCATCCAGCCTGGCCTTGAACACCTCCATAGATGGGGCCTCCACAACTTCTCTAGGCAACCTGTTCCAGTGACTCACCGCCTTCACAGTAAAGAATTTCTTTCTGGTATCTAATCTAAATTTCCCCTCTTTCAATTTAAAACCATTACCCCTTGTCCTGCCACTACGCTTCCCAACAAAGAGTCCAAGCTCTCCTGTAGGCCCCCTTCAGGTACTGGAAGGCTTCTATGAGGTCTCCCCGGAGCTTTCTCTTCTCCAGGCTGAACAACCCCAGCTCTCTCAGCCTCTCTTCAAGGTGCTCCATCCCTCTGATCATCTTCATGGCCCTATATTCCATTTCATCATTTGGGTTATTGATTAAAAGAACAAAGAGACCTGTAGCCAGGACAGATGCCACCTGTTGTTTTGTGGTTCCTTATGTTGTCTGAGATTTGTTTAAAACTCCAAGATAAACATCATCTATTGCTGCTGTTCCACCTGCGAGGCTTGTAACCACGTTGCAGAAGGAAATGAGATCAGTTTGACGTGGTTTGTTCTTGACAATTTCATGAATAGTCCTTATTCATCTAAGTGGTATTATAGAAGTAATTCACTTGGCAGTTTCAGGCCGCTAGTTTTCAAAGATAAAATGCAGTGTAGATGGTGTCCTTTGTTGGTATCTGTTGTAATATGTAATGGATCAGAGGATTTTACATCGGTTTAGAGCGTTATTAAAATAAACATTTCCTCTCTTTCACATTGAGCAGAACTTTCACCAGTATTTTAAATGTAATTTTTTGACTTGCATTATTAGAAGCACTAATCAAGCATTTTACAAAAAAGCACCATTTTAAAAGGCTTATTCCAGCGCTCAGCTGCACACAAAAATTACAATGATAAAAAGAAACGTTTTTGCTATCTGTTAAGTGATTCTCACTCAACTTCATGTTTGTTATACTCACATGAGCATATTTTGCATAACTAGCACAGACACCGGAAGAGTTTCCCGACAATTTACCCTGCTGCCAAACCAAAATGCAAAAGAATACTGAAAACCAATGAGCCAGCTTCATTTTGAAACCATAATATAGATCGGCATCAAGGGCCTTTTTTTCACTGCCTCGGGAAACCACGTTACCTTTTGCCTTGCAAGAAATTTGCATTATTTGTTTTCCTACCTTGAGCAGTTGGAGGCAGTGTTAAAGTGCAAAATACTATGTTTCTCACAGATATGAAATCGGTAATGCAGGATCACTGGTAAGCATACTGTTTAGAATACCAATCACTTTAAAGTCAATACAAAGAAAAGAAAATGGCAAAAAGGTTCCATAGTATATTCTCTGGTTCTGAGTATAGCTCAAACACCGACTGGAACAACACTCACAAATACTTTAGTGGGTTGTTTTTTTGGTAAAGCTGATCTAGCACAAAATAAAATTGATTTTAGAAAAGCGAGCTGGAGGAGTTTTCCAAACTCTCACCTAAGAAAGAACAATTCAGTTTTCAGTTTGTATTTTCAGTTGTAATAATTTCCTTTAGCACTGTTTTTTTAATAGTAGGAGAGCTAACGTGGCAGTAGGTTGTATTGAATGTGAGTATGAAAAGTAGAATTTGGCCAGTAGAAAGGGATTAAATTTGCTCAGCAATAAAGCAGACATTTTCAAAATACCTTGATTGTTAATAGTGGAATACATTGATTATAATTTCATTGATCACCCAGCCCTGTCACATTTAAGATAATGAAGGTTAAAATGTTGCTTTTTATCTTTTTTTTGTCCACATAGTGATAATTGGTTCATGAAGAAAGGGAGTCTAAGATAGTTAAGTTTTAGACCAGCTATCTGATGGATAATGAGGCTGATGTTGTATGATTAAGAAATACAGATGAATACATTAAATTATGAGTTAACCTATCATATATTGTTATACGTAGTTTGTTTATATAGTAAAATAAGATACAGTTCCCTAAAAAAAAGTTATGGAAGTTGTGGCACTTCTGGAGAAGCCAGAAAAACTTTCACTAGGATTGCCTTTTAAAAGTTAAGAGACTCTGCTTCTATCTGAGCCTCAGACTGCTGGAGAACAAGGAGGACACCTGGGGTCATCATATTCCCTTTTTCCACGATATCTTAAACTGCATCAGTTGTTCCCAAGCTTTCTTAAAGCTAAGCCTAGTTGGAAAAAAATGGTAATCCTCTGTGACTTATGGTGCTCTTACCCAACAACTGCTGGTGTGGGGAGCCTTGCTGCTCTGCCCTCATTTCTGAGCCACGGGCTTGTTAGTGCTGTCTGTTGGCTCAGCCCAGGCACCGTGTCTCAGGATGGCTGCCACCTCCTCCCTTTGGCGGCTCTGAGACCAAGCTAGAGCTGCTCTCGTGGCTCTTGCCAGACTATCATTCTCCTGTGGGGTTGACAAACTAGATCAGGCTGCAAAATAAACCAAGCCAAAATGCCTACCCGTGTGAGTTCTTTGCTTTATCTTTGCTATGCTCCTCGTGTAAATTAAAGTAACTTCCAGGTTGCTTTACTTAATGCTGAGAGATGCACAAACCAGCATCAGCCTGGCAGAGCTCGTGCACGTGGGCTTGGTGTTGTACGGGGGGTAACAGGCTCCAGCCTCATCTCTAAGGCAAACCTCAAAAACATGTAGTGACAGAAAGAGTGGTAATGGCTTCAAATTGGAAGGGCGTAGATTTACATTCGAAATCAGGAATAAATTTTTCACAGTGAGGGCGGTGAGGCACTGGAACAGGTTGCCCAGGGAAGGTGTGGATGCCCCCTCCCTGGAGGTAGGTGTTCAAGACCAGGCTGGATGGGGCTTTGAGCAACCTGGTCTAGTGGGAGATGTCCCTGCCCGTGGCAGGGGGGTTGGAACTAAATGATCTCTAAGGTCCCTTCCAACCCAAACCATTCCATGATTCTATGTAAGTAGGGAATTTCAGGCATGACAGGAGAAACAACTGCAGGCGTGTATGAGGAGAGCCCTTATGTCTCACGCAGTTGCCTCTTTGTCTTTCATTAGAATTTCTCTTCTTACGTCTTTTTCCTGCTAGGCTTAGATACCAAGGCTGATGTCACTGATACCGAGGCAGTTGTGCCCAAAGTAAATTTGGCCCAGGGAATTCGAACAGATTCTGATTTCAAATATCCACACAAACCAGATGAGGTTTACCTGTGCTTTCATATGGAGTATTACCTTATTTCAGAAGCAAACTGTGTTCATTATATATGGTGATACATGGAACTGTAACATCTTAAGCACAATGAAAACACGTAAGAAACAGTAATAATGTATTAATTTTTCTTTATCATGTGCATTAATATTTTCAATAAATATAAGACCATAAATGTAGCTTCATCCTATGTGAATGCTTTGCCAAAACTTAAACTGAGAAATATATTGGCTCCTTTAGTTACATTTTGCTAAATGAGGAAGGTCTGGCAGAACTGAGCCCAATTTAGTTTGTGTACTGCTTTCGTGTGGACATTTTAATCACTACAGTCCTTCACAGTCAAGAAGAGATGAAAACCTTATTTAAATTATTGCTAGATTCTTCTGAAGTTAGTCATCAAGTCCTTCAGGTTAATATTGCTTACTATAGTTACAGTCACATCACAGTGAAGATGCAGCCGATATTACAGCAATTTTTCTAGCCTTAAGCAAGTGGTGCAGAAAATGAAGAGATTTATTTTGTTCAGTAACAAAGCCACATAATTTTTCTTAGGTACCTGATATATAGATATTCTGTGCATGAATGGAATTAACAGTAATTATTAATTATTATTAATTAAAAGTTTTTCCATCCTTGAAGAAAAGACGAAAATAAAGGTTTTGATTTTTTTAAACGTATTCCCAGTATTTGCCATATATTTTATAAACATTGAAGGAAAACTGGCTTTTTATTTCTTTTTTCTTTTGTTTTTCTTTTTTTTTTTTCCCAGTAATGGAGATAAATTGCAGTGAGAAGAGTCCCAGGGCCAGAAGGAGAACTATTGTATTAGACATTGTACAAATACAGAATAACTGTCCTAAAAGCTTCAGTAAATCATTTGACACCACTGGTCTGAGTCATAATAGCATTCAGTCACAGTTTGTGTCTGAAATCCTTTTAATTCTGCTCTTCGTTCATTTCTCTCAGTAATGAGCTTATGCTTTACAGGAAGCATTTTTGTTAACATCAGAACCTTGAGCCTAAATGAGTTTTGTATAGCAAATTAATCTTATTGGACAAATGAGGTTGATTGAGACATTACATCAACTTTTAATGTTTTTGGTGTTCAGTAATTATTTTTAAAATCTGGTTCATGTTCCAAACCAGTTCATTTTTTCTCCATGGCTATTCACCACTTGTCTCATAATCAGTGCAAGGTGTTTCAGAAGGGCATTGATGCGCTTTGGGCGTATGCAGACCCCTTACACAATTATGCCAGCAGCAACCTGCTCCAGAGTGTTTCAGTGTGTAAGGGCCCATCTCGGCTGAAAACACACATGATCCAAGGACACTTCTTGTGTCTGCACACCCTGTTTGAAGCATTTGTGTAGAACTGTGAGGCGTTCCACCACCACGGAGTCAGAGCAGCTGATTACTGGAATGCAATCCTTTGGTTAATCGTCAACTGTGAAGGAAAGTAACTCTTTTTCAAGGTTTTGCATTGAACCAGAAGCAGATCCAGGAATGTCATCTGGAGTTCCTGATTTCTACTCTCTTATGCTGAAGTGTTGCTATTACTGATTTACCCCCCCCAGGAAAGAAAGACATATTGCCTCAGAATTGCAATTATGCTAATGTCCTCTAATATCAATCAGCAGGCTGCTTTAGGCAGAATAGAGCCAACTGACATTCCTAGCACAGAGAGCAAAGATAGGCACGTTTATAACTTGCCTATTTTCTCCTTTATAGAAAACTTACACCGAGGAAAGAACAGCCTAAAGCAAAGCCGGTTTGAAGTTTAACTTTTACAAGAAGCTGAGCAAGGTCCTCTCGATTCAGAGAATTTATCTTTCCTTTCTTTTCTATCCCAGCTCCCTGGGCACGAAGAGAAGAGGGACAGGGTTCCTGGCTCCCTACAACAAAGTAAGTTTCTCCTAGTAATTGGCTCAGAGGAAGGTAGTTTTCTTGTGAAATCTTCATGAAAGCTCTTGGCCTATGGATCTTGAAACTAAGGTCTAAAAAACAACTCTATCACAGAAACGAATGTAATTTACATTCTTCTAATTACTGCCACCAAAGGACTGCACTGTACCTTTTAAAATACAAATCTATTCAAACTTTGACATAAGGAAACATCACAGTATTACAGGAAATAGAGGGATTATTGATAGAAAGCACAAATATTTTTTTTTGCACTAAGCAATTGCTGAATTCAGCACTTGGCTGATTAGCTCACAACTCTCAAGTCATTAGAGAAAGGAGGTTTGCAAAGCAGGGTGGTGTCGTGCAACCTGCTTCTTGAGAATGGGCTCTGGCCCGTCTTAACTGCTCAGCCAGAACCAGATTTTTTTTTGTTGGTCGGTTAGCCCTGACCAAAAGTGTTGCTGGAACCATTAAAAGTAAAGATGAGCTGCAGTGTCTGAGAATATCTCCTGTAATTAACCTTCTAGCACAGATGCAGCCTAAAGGTTCCCCTGAAGGTGAGCTGAGTCATTCTCTAAGCTCGAGTGCAGTAGTTAGATGTGGTTTTTTTCTATAACAGGAGCTACAGCACCTCTTATTTGTGCTGGAATTACTTGTGGGCACCAAAATGAAGGTCTTTTTAAGCTGGACACGGCCCTCACTCAGGCTGTCACTATGAAGATACAATTATTTTTCTTCCTATGGGCAACAGAGTATCCAGGGAAAGATTAAATATCTGTAATTTATATTAACATATCCCAAGTTACAGAGTAATTGTTTTACTCAGTTATTCATAAAAATGTAAGCCTCCAGCAGTTCCAAGAATTATCTGTGAAATAAAAAGCTCTTTTTGAAAAAGTTATACCAAATACCATTTTTCTATTTTGTTAGAACATCAAACATCGAAGATAAAGTGTTTTACTTTCACTCTGTAGCACCTATTTAGCATCTATTGTAAAAGAATGAAACTGTGACCCTTTGGCAGCTTAAAAAACACAATCAAAGATTATGTGAAAAATCTCCTTTTCATCATTGCAGTGCTTCTGAGGTATCAAATAATAAAGAAATATTATCACCCCAAATTTTTTCAAAAACATGCATTAAAAAATTCTGTGCCTTAAGAAACTGTGGAAATTAAATATTAAAGAACAGTTCTTGACACTGGAAGCTCTTTGAAACACGTTAAGCCACACTGGAAGTCATAGCAGGAAGCCACATTATTTCTTGACACATGGTCCATTATCTTATTTGATGCCATGAATATTCATTAGAATTTACAATCTTCTATTATTTAGTTCACTGCATTAAACATCTGCTTTTTTTCCCCCACAAGACCTGAGGGGAAACAAGATCACCTTCTATTTAAGTTGGTTAAAATCATGAAAGGATTATATATACACTATCATATTAACTGAAACCATCAAAAACTAAAGGCTGATGGTACATGAAAGTCCTGCAGTTGCTATTTGTTCTAAGAGGATGAATTCTCAAACTGCAATTTCAAGGGAAGCGCAGAGACCAACATTACTGTATGTGTGTGTGATGCTGTGTTATGGCAGTGAGATGCCCGTTTGTGTTGTAACGCGATGAGCTTACATCGAAGGGAATACAATGCCCAAATCTGTGAACCCTGCTTGGCTCATTGAGCTCTGGCAATCTTGTTGGACTATGCTGCGAAAGGGGTTGTTGTGTTCTGGGAACAGCAGCTCCAGCAACTGATAAATGACAGACCAAGCATATAATTAGTGCCTCTTCAAACTTACCCAGTTTTATCATGATGCATGGCAAATAGCACTCGGGATGACTTCAGAGGTTTGCTATTCAGAGAATTTCCTAATGACCTATCATTTGTGCGATGCTTTCCTGACTAGCTAAGGATCAGTGTGCCTGAGGGGGGGCGGAAATGATAGGAGCTGTGGCTCAAGGAGAAAGCTTTTGGCCTGAAGCTGTGGTAAGAGTTTTATTTTGAAAGTCATCCATATAAACGCAAAAAAAAAATGACATGCCGCCTGATTATGCCTGCACACTCAACAGTAACTAGAGGCAAAGAGTCCTCCAGGTACATAGAGAATAATAAATGACCTTTCCTATTGCTTGTGAAAGGAGCAGAAAGAGCCACATCTCAATCTATGTACATTTTTTAATAATAACATGAGGCTTTATGTCAATATTCTGATAATTTTAAACATGGCGTCTATTGAAAACATGGAGAACTCAAGTTCCACTTCGAGAAGATAGTAATGCATTTTTCTCTATAGCAATGTCCTCACATTGCCATCAAAATTTCTCACTGAAAATGAAAGAAATGGGATTAACTAACAAAACCACACTTCTGTGGTACTAATTGCTATTGCAAACATGTTTATGAGGTGAAGAGAGCAGTGATGCAGCAATAGCTGGGGAAAAGAACAGATTTCAATTCCTTTACATGACAGGAGTAGAGGACAGTATGCAGCATTAACAGAGACCAGTAATAAAGGTGCTGTGGGGCACAGCACAAACACTTGGGGAGTCACCTTGGGCCTGCACCAGGCCATCCCTGAACGTGGGACATGAAGAATGTAGGACCTCTGCTCCACAGTGCCTGCAACAGGGCCCAGTCTAAATACTTCCCCCATTAGGAGGACCCATCTGGATCAGCCAGGCATGGGTTAACTCAGTGGCTTGAAGCAAAGCAGAACCACCACCTACCGTCCTACCAGACCAGTGCCAGGCTCTGTGCAGATGCCTGGTCAGCAGCTCCATATGGGCCACAAGAAGCTGAGCTTCACCGATCAACACTGGCTTGAGCAAATGCATCAGGCCTGCTCAGGGGTAGCCAAGAGCCTGGATGTACAGCTGCAGGCTCTCATGCAGCACTCTCACTCCTCCCTGTTTGCTCCAGGCCCTGTGACCGCAGTCAGGCTTTATAGCTTTGTCCATCACCACTGCTTCAGTTACTGTCCTCCTGCACCCAGGCTGTTTCCATGCGCTCCTACTGCGTAGAGCCCAGATCCCAGACTCAGGAGAACTGGGAGGCGAGTACAAAGACATTTGAATATGCCTGCAGGGATCAGCCTGGCTGTGGCAGTGCCATTCCTAAGCCAGAACTCCTCCTGGAGTCAGTTTGGAACTCTGAATTCCAGAACTGAGTGTTGTGTTGAAACTCAAGGTTGGCTTTACACAAGAAAGGTTCAGGACTACTTTATTAGATTAGCTCAGTTCTGTGAAAAAAAAAAATAAATTGTATTGCTTCTAACCACTCTGAGGTGTTAGAATGAGCCCCTGTGGTACGTACTGTAGGCAGGCTACTCCCACTGCTCTCTTGATTTCACTGGAGCAGGATACATCAGTCCCTTTAACATTAATGTCTGTCCATCACACAGACAAAGGTTTGGTGCAGGAGACACCCGAGCAGGGGAAAAAAAAAAACACCACAGTTAAATGTCACAGGCAAATGAACATGCCTGACACCTGTAGAGAAAGAAATTGTGATTAATAATGTTCTTATTTCCTTTAGGCAATCATGGTAAGCAAGCAGATTGCGTGCCTTTATCTGGCTACCTTTGTTTCCCAATAGAGCCAAATTTCTGCTTCTCACTTAGAAAAACTGTAATTGTACCTGACACAGCCTTCACACCGAATCTGTTATTTTGTTCAGAAATTTAATTAACTTTTGATTACTTTAATTTAACACATTCCGGTATCTGTTTTGTAATTGTATGAAGGACTAAACAAAACACTAATCTATTTTTAATAGTGTATTTAATTTTTGCTGCATACTTTAAACACGCATAAAATCAACTGCTCAAATCACAGGATTGTTCTTCCACAACAGGAGTACCAGCCTTCACTAGAAACAATTCTGACATCCATGGGGACAGCAAATTGGCTGTGCTGGAAGAGCTAGAGGTGTTCCAACTACGATGATACAAAACTGGGGCAGAGGAAGTCACGACCTTCCTCAGAGTTATGGGCCAAACCAGAAAGATAAAAATCACAGTGCAATCTTTCTCTCAGTCATCTTTCCCCAGAAGTTTGCAACGTCTCTTTTGAAGGCGAAGCAGAACTGGGGTCTATTTGCAAGGCAAAGTTGATGGTAGTCTTCACCCCACATCTCTGGAAGAGCTATTTCTGGTAGCTTTACACTGGCATCGTGCAATACTTGTGGTCTTTGAGTGACAGGACTGCTATTCCATCTCATTTCTGCTGCTGCACTACCAGGGAAATTCCTCATGCCCTCTCTCCGCTTTCCTTATTTAAATACCTCTGGAGGAGTGAGGAGGATGCTGGGAGGCAGACTCCTGACCTCGATGCCTGGACAGCGCTTTGAGTAAAAGAGAAGTCAGTTCTAAATACAGTCACTGTAATGTGTCTGCTACTTAGACAATAAAACGATTCTACCACCACCACCTAATCCTCTCTACACCCACAGCACTGTGCAGCAGTATCTTCTCTCTTCCAGCTAATCGGCATTTCGGGTGGCAATTCTGAGGCTGTAGAAAGAAGAAAGCTTAATTGTGTCTTGAACTAGACTGCATCACCAAATACAAAGACCAGATAGCTCATCACAGATAGCATGAGCAGGCTAAGGAGATCCAAACCAGAAGCAAAATAAGTAAACTGGGAGCAAAAGAAAAGAAAAAGGGATCATCATCCAACAGAAAACAAAGGACTTGCCTCAGTTCAGGATGTAAGATTGTAAACATCACTTCAAAACCAAAACACACTATCATTCTCAGCTGTCATGTGGCAGTTTTAACATCTTAAACTAAAGATATGCAATATCTTTTTTTCTTTCTTTGAGGGATTGATCTGTTGTTTCAGCATGGCCAAATAAAAGGTGTACTTTATTTGAACATTAATTTCAGTTTACAGAGTATTTTGTGGATTCTTCTTTATCTCCTGTTGGATATTTGCAATTCATCGCTGCAAATTCCACCTTTCCAGGCCATCTCTGATGATGAAAGAGCCTTCTAACAGCAACCTCTACTAGCTAGCACAGCGGAGTCCGTCAGTTCTGTCTTACCCTTCACAGCAGTAGTGGCATCCACCCGTGATTCTTTACGAAATGTTTCTAAGTGATTTAACTAAGTACTCTTTCTTTCCTTGTATGTGCCCTGCTACCTCTTTTTTTTTTTTTTTTTTTTTTTTTTTTTTTTTTTTTAATCTCTGTATGTGTGGGAAGAGAGACTTCCACTCTGGACAATGGAGAAAATAAAACATTTAAATCTAATTCTTCCCTTCACACTCTGCAGCCTTTCAGCTACCTGTGTCCCACAAGAGGTAGTTCTACCAAGATATAACCCTTACCAGCAACCTATTTTATATCTTTGCTATCTAAGTGCCACTGCAGCTTTGGATAGTCTCTCTTCAAAACAGTTGACACTACCTAGGTGCGCTCTGTTGATGTGATAGCTGCTTGAAAGACCTTTGATCATGGTTTCAGACACCACAGGCAGAGGAATAATATCTATGATACATCGTGTCCCTTCAAAGTTCCAGTCAACTACTGCCCCTGCCAACTGGTATGCAACACCAAACTTATTGCTAACAAAACAAAAAACCCCTTATCCCTAGGGAAGAATTCAAGACAACATGAGATCATTTTGGTACTGGAAGATCTCTAGCGTTTCATCCTCTGATAAACAGGAGGAAGCCCAGTACCCACAGAGGCAGAGCTTCCAGCACCCACCCCCCTCTTCACGAGAGGATTCATCCCATTAAACATACATGAAATATGCATGACCATTCGCACAAAGGGTAAGGAAAAACACATGTCCACTGAAATTTGTTAGGAATGGTTCATACTGCCATCTGCCCCTACAAAAGAGAACTGATGTGAAAATAACCAGAGATGTCTTATGGTTACCAGTCTTAAAATACCTACTCTCTGCTCCAGGAACAACAAGCGGAGAGAATACAAGATATATTCTGGGACAGCTGTCAAATCCAAAACATGCAGGAAAAGATATTTATATAATAACTGATAAAAATATCAATATATTTTATGCATGGATATATTCTTTAGATGACAGGAGGTTCTTTTCTATATGAAACCCACAACCAAATCCAATCCCTCCTCTAAAATTTAGCCAACAAATTTACTATCATTCTTTGGCATACAAAGAGAGGTCCTTAACCTGACTATGGCCCAGTAAGATTCAAGAAATGCAAGATGCTTTACAACAAAATGAGTTTGGCTTCCCAAAGGAAAATATGCCATAATTACACCAAGAATCCATAAACAAAGATGTCATACTAGTTTTTCTATATGCTGTTTCACAGGCGTTTGTGTTGAAACTTGCATGTGTAAACATTCTTCATTGAATCCTGGAGTAAATAATGGTAGTGCAACAAAGAACCATCACTATCCTTGTATATTAACATGCCTTTATCACCTGCTTACATAATTTGCTCAGACTGTAGTATAATCCATTTTCCTTAACAATCAATTTATATCACAAATACATATATGGAAAACCCCTCACTTTAAATGGATTTCTGCCTCATTAAACTCTTCTTAATGAGTCTGGGGATACCGCTTTAGAATAAACGAACAGAAGGTATTTTAAATAAAATTAGCTGAGTTTAAATAAAACCAGCTCATACTTAACAATACCCTACAGCTAGCAAAAATTACCTAGTTTATGCACTAACCACCTAGTGCAATTTCCTCTTCTTTCACAAAGATTTGCTTTGGGAAGAACACCCTCACTGAACACTCATGCAAGAAGATGTTATTTTCAAATAACAGACAGAAGCCAAATGTATCCCTGTGTGTAACACTGGCCATTAATGAGTGCATATTGTCCCTTGCTGTGCCACAGATAACTCCAGTAATCTTACTCTATGATTGATGTCAGGTAATAAAATTTGGCTTCTTACCCACCCTGCTATGTATTACATCCTTTTTCTTTTTTTTTTTTTTTTTAAACATGGCTGCAAAAATAAAACCTTCAGTCTTAAAATGAATTCCGAGAGAGAATTGTGTGTCGTTCTATCCTGACTCTGCTGCCAATGTTATTCAAAACTTGCATCTGTCAGAACTCACGGGCAGGAGGAAGGCACAATTCTTCTAATTTAGCAGCTGTTCGATGAACATTAAGGTACGTAGCCAAAAACCTGAAAGACAGCAAGAGAAGCAGTTGCAATACTTTAACTTTTCCCCTTAGGTATGGGAGCTCATTTCAGAACTACACATTTCTTTTTCAGCTCCTGATTTTGATCCCTCGCTATCCACATCCCCTTTAACTGCATCCCTCTCCGTCCCCAAGCGGCATGGTTGGATAAATGCTCCCACTCGATGGGTTCACTTCAGTCACCTGAAACACAAACATTACTTGTTTCTGAAGAAGTGACAGATAATATTCAGGTTAGTAACTCTTTCGTTTCCATGCAGAAACCACACAGCATACTAGTCTCACCCCGAACGTGCTACATTTCCCCACCAGAAAACAAACAGATTTTTCATTTCTTAAAAAAAAAATAAAATAAAATAAAAAAAAAATAAAACGCAGCTCCCTTGTAGGGCATGGGTAAGCTGAGCTGTAAATATACTTATTTTACTCCGTTCTAAAGCTTGCATCCTCGCTGCCTGCCCCCTCCGTCCAGGTGGCTGGCAGACCACAAGCCCCGCGTTACGGCCTGCGGGACGCCTACAGCATTCGGCAACGCTTTTCTCTTGCGTTTCAACACGGATTTTGTCGGCCCCTGCGCGTCAAAGAGCCGCTCTGAGACCCTGCGCTGCCGGCCCGCGGCCCCCGCCGTGGCAGCCCGTCACCCCCGGGGACGGAGGCCCCTTATGTGCCGGGGCCGCCCCTCGCCCCGCCGGGCAGCCCGCGGCGGCGGAAAGGCGTTACCCGGCGCCCGCCCATCCCCGCCCTCAGGCCGCGCTATGGCGGCGGCGCGGCCGGCGCTGGCCCGGGCCCTGGTGCAGCAGTGCCTGTCCGCCCGGCTGCAAGTGAAGCCGCCGGAGCGCGGCTGCGAGGCCGAGTGGGTGGAGGTAACGTCTGCGGGCGGCGGCGGCATCCCCCTCCCCATCGCGCCGTCCTCCGGGAGGCGGCGGCCCCGGGGCGGTGAGGGAGGGCGCCGCGCTTTCCCTGCGCGCGGTCAGACCGGTCACCCCCGCTCCTTCCGGAGAGCCCCGTTGGGGTTTTTTTTGTCTTTATATTTGCCTCCGGACACTGAACCGGAGCTCTCGGGAGAGGGGCAGCCCCGGGTGGCGGCTGTGCCCGGCGGGCACCTCCAGCCCGGCCGGGGCGGGGGAGTGGGGACACGTGGAGGGAAAAAACTGGTGGGTCAGAGTAAAGCCGGGAAAAACGCTCGCCAGTTACTGTCACGACTTAACTTGGGGGATTTCAGTAAATTTGTTGCCAGTTAATATGACTATTTAATTAGTAATTTGGGTATGGGGATATTTTTCCCAATAAACCCCCCCTAAAAAACCCAAATACTTAGACGTTTGAGGAAAACACCCCTCCTCCTTTTCCAGGCTAAGCTGAACCTCACACCCCTCTCCTGCCCCCTTCCCTCTCCTGCCCCTGCCCAGTCTCCACCCCAGGGCCCCCTCCTTCCTCCTGGTTGTCACCAGAAACAACCTCCAGGTTGTTTCTCTCTGCTGCTCCTTCTTGTTCTTTCCCTGTGCCCCAGTGTGGGTCTTCCACAGGCTATAGACCTTCTGGAGCGTGACTGCACCACCATGGAGCACCTTCTCTTCCCCTAACCTTCTTCTTCCTCTTTGACATTATCTGCCCTTTCTTCAATACACTTCCACAGAGGTGCTACAGACTTGGAAGAAAGGCCAGGCAGAGAATGGGACTATGGCAGC